ATATCAACAACACATATTTCAAAATTAGTAAAGGGAGAATTTTTTTTGGAAATAAAAAGCAGGCGTAATGTTATGACACAGCGCCTGAAAAAGTCCCCAGCTCGGTAACTTTCAACATGACCATGACCAAGTTTGTGTAGTCATTACGCAGGAATGAGAGTGTAGTTCCTAGCCATATCAGCCTAGAAAATCGCAACTTTACATTTTCCGTCGGCCTTAGTGCATGATGTAACTACAGAAGAGTCAATATTTTAAATTTAAACTCTTTGGTCATTTTCTTTTGAGAAATGCTAATGGTCTTGTCCACTTCAATGATTTATGCTAAGCTATGCTAAAAGTGGTACCGCCAGTACGGGAGATCGACTGAATGGATTCAGAAACGCTAAAACTCAACAGTTTTACTCTAGGGGAGAAAATAAGCCTATTTCCAAAAAAAGTAGAGTATCCCTTTAATGTAGAATATAATTATTAATTACACACACACACAATCACAATGAACTAGTTATTCTGTTAGAATATTCTTCTGTGGAACTTGTCTAATATTCGATGCTTTGTGCATTTGAAGTGGAGTGTAAAAATTACCTTAAATGGGGGCACGCCTTATATAAATTCAAAACTTTTCCTGTTTTTTTTTTTTCACTCCCCACAGATGTCCCCACACAAATGTTTGGTCAGGACAAATTTGGCCCCAAATAAAAAACTGCCTCCATAAGTACATTTATCTGTTATCAGGTAAAACAAGTTTATTTATTTTAGATGATCAGATTTCTTTATTTTGAAAAATAATTATATATCAGCCAATCTTATGGCGTTATGCTGTAACAGGATTTTACACGCTGTTCAATGGCGGTTGCTCTTCAGAGATGTGTTTTGCATGCAATAGATCAGTCCCAACAGGCAGGACAACATTCTTTTTCCTCTTAGTACAGTATCTGTTGCAGTTTCTACATTTTAGTAAATCAAAGTGCATTGCAAGTGACCCTATCAGCCAAACCTGACAGATCTTTTCCATGTAAGAAGATTCAGATAAAGATTGAGCAGATGAGCAATATTACCGTAAATGTGTGTTCTTTTTTCCATCTTAGTCAGTCTGATCTGACCACTTGCAAGCCGACCTTTCCCTCCTCAGTGTGTGCGCCCTTGCCGTGTTACTATGGCAACACCTCAGGGCTGGCGGCATCAAGGCGGACACTAGAAGGTCGATGATTCTACCGGTGCCATTTGGGGCATTTTCATCACCTTGTGTGGCATTGCCTACCATTTTACAATATGATGCAAGATGAAGTCAGAGCTGCTGCACCTTAGATGCTTAAAGACTGCTCTCTCTGAAGGTGTTGCCATGTTTTCCTAGCCTAGAAATCTAGACCCTAGCGGCAGCAAAAATTATTTTGCAGCCAGTGTGGTCTAGCAACTCTCCGTTGGCTTGCGAGCTGGAAAAACCAAACTCTGGTCAGGCCAATCACATCGTGTATAGAGTTGGTGGGTGGGCTTAACAAAATGACAGCAAAGTTGTGGTTCCGCGTGATTTCCATAGGGGATTTCCCTACTCACCTATTAGGTGATCGGCTTTGGCCAATTGATTCAAGTCATTCTTCACCGATTCAAGTCATTCTTAAAAAAGTAAGATTTGTTCGGACACGTGTTTTTGACGACCAGATACGGCAAAAGTTTAGTTGGACTAAAGAAAACGCATGGGACTCACTCATCCACAGCCGTTCGTTGCTCTGTTTGGTTGTGGCGCTATCCTATTGGGTGTAGAGGGATTTTGCGAGACAACTTTTTATCCCGCCCCTCCAATTGAGGCATGCCAATTGTGAGTTCCCAGACTCAACATCTTGATGTAGGTCTGGCTTGCCAGGCTAATGTTTTCCCTGAGCAGTGTCTCTTTATCCGAGAGCCAGAAGAGAAGATAGAGAGAGAAGAATTTAAGGCAAATCTCACATGGGCGGCATCGCCTGCCAAACACAAAACATAATTCACTAATATGACAGTTCTCTAATAGTTCAGTGTTACGTTGTGCACACTCTGACCTACTAGTACCAGTCTCTTCCAGTTACAATTCTTTCCTATATAATGTTACATAAGGACATACTTCACAAATTGAATCAATCATATTTCCAAACAAGTCATCAGTTTGCATCAGTTGTGCCTGTGGGAGTTTTGGTGGGAAGAGCTTGGTGGTTGAGGTCTTTGGCAGGCGTGAGGGTGGGCAGGTGCAATCTCGGTTGAAAGAGGAGAAACACAGCACCATCTGGCACAGGGATCCCCCTCCTAGTGGGAGGAGTGGGAGAGACGGAGGGATTGAGGGATAGGGGGGCAACGGAGGAGTGTGACCAAGGTAATTAGAACACCGCCTCAGATTAGACTAATGGAAAGAGGGCGGGACGACCCGTTCCTGAGCATGGAGAAGGACAGTGGAAGCCTACACCTCCGTATCCAAACTAGCCTCAATGGAAAAGCGCGCCTCTACCTATATTTTTGGAAAAACGTAAAAAAAAAAAAAAACATGCCTATGCATACAATTCCCACTATAAACACTAGAACACCAAAAACTTTTATTATTCTTCTCACAAATGATCATTAATAAAGCTTAATTTCACAGTTTCTTAGTGCCAGTCACTGGACATTTTGGACAATGGAAAGTGTTGCAAAATATGCAAGAAGCAACGCAATACACGTTTGCAGAAATGTTGCCAAAGGGGACAATTTTTCCAATCAAGTCAAGTCATGTATCTTTATATAGCGCTTTTCACAATATAGATCAAAGCAGCTTTACAGTGTCCATCAAAACATAATAACAATGTTCATTTCTTAGTGGAAACATCCACATTTGGTAGAGCTAATCAAGGGCATTACTGATAGTATTACTGGCGTTTACGAATTAGATGTCGGATTTACAGTAACTGTAAGGTAAAAATGTATATATGATAAATGTATATATGGTGTTCACATGAGCATTAAGAATTGATTCTATAGTTATGTGCATTTGAATATATGTATGCAGGTTTGTAATTCCCTAAAACCATGCCTGAACAAACTACTTGTCTTGTCTATAAATTTGATACAGAATTTTGTTTTATTTGATCAAAATAAAATAATGAGCCCGGGCTTCCTATATCTGCCAAATCAAGAAAGAAAGATTCATCATGTTTCAAAGTGTGCCAAGTTCATTAGTAGCTTTTTAAATAGCAAGACAGGAATTTATTGTTCATAATAGATAAAAAAGAAATGCTGCAAGTCATAAATTTAGGAATCTCAATCATTTAACAACACATTTGTATGTCCGTAGTTATCTTATGTCAATTCATTTAATTCAGTGTTTTTTATGATTTCTTAATTTTAATATTATTAAATTAATATTTATTATTATATCATTTAATTAATTATTAGCAGTCCATAAACCCACTAATCCCTGTTAATAATTGATTCGTTTTTTTGAGTGAGCGTTACACAATGACAAAGGTTATTCAAATCTCAACACCTAACGATTTCAATCGATTCAATAGTAAAATGTTTTAGAAGATTCCTTGTCTTTTGTTTAATCTGACAATATCATGTTGCTCTATGGTTAATTGCTGTAGTTATGTATGTGTTGGCCAGGAATCTAAAGGGCTCTTGATCAGGGCATAACTCCCTTTTTGGTGTAATTGCAGCTTTCATGTTGCTACCTTCAAATCATCAGTCTCTCATCTCCACATTCCTTCTTTCTGATCGCTTTAAAGTAAAAACAAGCTCTTTAAGTGTCTAACTCAGACACATGCTTTGATCTTCCATTTGGGAAAAGCTCACAGCATTCAGACACTTCTAAATACAGGGTAGGCTGTAAACAGGGCCTGTGACTGACAGCCAATGAAATTAGACAAGAGCGATAGAGATCCAACATCCTTGACGTTATCTCTGAAGTATCTTTCTAAGTCACTGAACAGTCTTGTACAAACAGAGGCAACATCCGCTTCACAGGCTTCCCAATCCCGCAATTCACACGCACCCAGAACAAACACCTAATGCTGTAGAAGCGTCTCTTAACTTCTCAGCGCTGCCTGGATAATTACGTCATGTTTTTTTTTTTTTTTTTGAGGTCTTACAAACACAAACACAGAACACAGGAGTGGCTGTGAGAAGAAATAGCAATGTGGTGGCTTTAGTCATCTTCGAGTTTCGTCTCGATCACATCGCGGTTTCCCGTCGCCACCCGTTTTGACTTGTCACTGGCACGTTGTAGCAAAGACGTACTGAAAAGGAGCACTTTGGCAGGTGCAGGCTTGTCCTCACATAGTGACATATGTAACATTCCAGTCACACGAGTCACGGCACCTGCTCGCATTCCTGTGCAGCCAGTGTCTCTTTCCTTACTGTTTGCAACTCAAGGTACATTCACACTCTTTCGTTCTCGTCATGCCTTTGTTACCCTTCAACAGGACATTTCATTTTAAATTTATATTAGAGCATATTTTATTTATCTTTTATAAGCGATATTAGAATATATGTTCATTTTTATTTTTTTATATATTTCTATTGTATAATGTTTATATTTAATAGAATCTTTATCAAATGTCAAAATTGATATCCATTTTTGCATACTTTACATTATAATGTTTAGATGCACCTCAGCTGAAATGTATTTTTCATTTATTTAAAATAGCATTCAATTTCATTTTGGCTATTTAGTGCCACTATTAACTTTTCAGGAATTATCAGCTCATCGTTATGGCCTGTAATATCAGAACAACACTAATTTTGATGAAATATTACACCTCAAACAGCCCAGAGTAGAAGTGAGTGTGTTCATCCATAAGCCTATGATTGTTCTGTTTTTGAGGATCACATGGAAACATATTGAGAAATGCCTGTCAATATTTTTGATTCTTTAAATTGCTTAGCACAAAAGATGCCTGAAAGTTCATTCAGTAATTATTTCTCCGAAAAGAGTCTCAAATGCTCTACTCAACTCAAATTTACATCACTGCACAAATTCTAATCTCTCTCTCTCTGTTTTTTAGGTGTCCTTCTTGACATACAGAAACACTTTGAAGTTGGTGACAGCGGAGCAGGCTTGTTGCAAACAGGTTAGTCTCTCATAATCCCATAATTAAGTGGTTTTGCAATCATGCAGCGAGAACATGCAGACTCACTGACAAATATCACTGAGGTGGAAGATCAGACTAAAATCCAATAAGCTCCTTGCAGCCGGAGTGACAGGGATAACAGTGAAAAAAAAAAAAAAAAAAAACTATGGATGCGGTGGTCCAGCAACACCTCCTTCCTCACCAAAGCCAGTGTAATTGACTGAGCTTGAAGCACTTGTTTAGGTTTAACAAAGCAGAGGAGTGCCACAGTTGTTTGGATTAGATGGAGACCCACCCGTTTTTCAACAGTGCAAGGACATTACATAGATTTTCCGATATTTCTATTAAGGTAAAAGACCACAGTATATATGGTTCAGTAAAACTGTTCAGGGGAAGCTGTAAATGTGTGGGTTAGCCTGGTTGTTACATGTAACAGGAAACTGCAGTGGATGCCCAACAGTGCAAGTCCACTCTATGGTTCCTTTTAATGGGAGGAAAAGACTAGTGTGTTCTGGAAAACACACAGAGCTGTTGTTAGCTAAGCTCAGCGATGCATGCGGTATTTGCTAACGTTTATAACAGCTAAAATTAAAAAATGACTAATAATCATCCACTCATTATATGCAGAAGACAGTGATGTGTAGCACATGATGACATCATTAAAGGTTATTTGTGGTTGGTGAGGAATCAGTGGATGTATACAGGGAGGTGAATGAGAGGTTTCAGTGTTCAAACGGCAGGCTTACGCTTGGTCAGGTGGGTTTTTTTTTGGAGGCTGTTAGGTTGGGCTTCCTGAACTGGGCTGGGTCCATGTCAAATGGCTTTTGTGAAGGAGAGTCACTGTGTGGAGGTCCTAGTGGAGTGCTTAGCGGCTGTCTGAATGCTAGAACACACAAACTATACTCATGTGCATATTCACACACCAGAGTGTGCACACAGAGACGCGTCAGACACGTCATATGCAGTGGCAAGAATATACAAGCACAAATGCTCACACACAAACTCACACACAGACACAGAGGCTCATTGAGCAGTGGCATAGTCGGGGATGTCTGGGATTCAGATCCAGCTCAGTGTTTATCTATTGCCTCTATTCATTTGGTTTGAAAAAAATATTAAAATAACCGGCACAGAGACCTCAGCACATAAATCTTTCCGTATTTAAGAGTGGGATGTTTTGCCTCTGGGTAAAATCATTTAAAAAATCTACACCTCTTACTGTAAAACAAGATTAATTTACACTGTAAAAATGAATATGCTTTATCTAATCAATAAAATTGTGGCAACAGATTACAAGCAATATTATTAATTAAATTTCACAAATTAGAATTGAGTAATAATTCATCAAATTAATTCCTTAAAAGTTAATTATATAAAATGAGCAAAACTTACAACAACAACCAAAAAAAAATCATAAAATGAAGTCACCATTATGGTGATCAGTGTTTGTTTTAAAATTACGGTTTTCTCCTTCTTCTGCTTGTTGAAATCAGGTGTTTTCAATGTTGGCAAGATAAAACAAAGAGTTAATTAATCTTTGACGTCTGTCTGTTAGTGAGATATTTTTTGTTAATTTTTTGTGTGTAAACTTTACTCAGTTTAAATGGTTAACTTTTAAGGAGTAATTTGTTTAATTATTACTCAATTCTAATTTGTTAAATTTAATTAATAATATTGCTTGTAATCTGTTGCCACAATTCTATTGATTAGATAAAGCATATTCATTTTTACAGTGTACTTGAGAAGAACAATTACTGTTTTTTATTTTTTTTTTTTTTTATTTTAACAGAAAAAATGAATAATACATATACTATATAATACACTACCTTTCAAAAGTTTGGAGTTGTTAAGATTTTTCAAGTTTATTTTTTTAATCAAAAACACAGTAAAAACTTATTTTATTAAACTTTTTCTTTTAAGCATGTTTTGATATCTAAATTTAATTTTAGTTTTTAGCGTTTTAGCTTAAATTTTGTCAAAATAGTATATAAAAAAGAGGGGGAAAGGTGAAATACAATGTTGCTGGTACTTTGAGACTTTCTAAATGACACATCCAGTTCTATTCAGCTCAATTATATTATATAACTGCCTGCAGAGATGAGTGAGATGTACAACGGAAAACCTTCATTAAAAGGCAGTTAGAAAGAATTCTGCTTTTGCTTAGCTGACCAATTTAGACTGTACTGTCACTCACTGAAGAAAATGTGTTTTTGATTAGTCTGTAATTGGTTGCAAATAAACATTACAATTCTGCTTGGCACAGGCTAACCATGAAGTAAACGACTGGTTGGAAAATTTCTATAGGTTGATTCTCAACAGGGAATTGGTGCTTCTTTTCATGCTTCGACAGAATGGCAGCCAATTATTGTTCTATATTGTTCTATATGCTACAAGAGGGATGGCACCTCTCATGCTGTGACACTGTCTCAAGATTCTCTCTAACTAGGGGTTAAATGTGTACGTTTAAGTGTGGGGAGCCCAAAAATCTGTCAAGATACAGCCCCACCAAAACAAACAAATAAATGTACAATAGAGATTTTTTTTTTTGGTCATTTGCTAAATTTAGGTTGAATACCTCAAACAAAATCAGGACTGGAGCATTGAGAAAATTAGAGAAAACTATTACCATCTAGACATAACTCGTTGAGTTTTCTTATACCATTTTAGCAAGGTTTTTTTTTTTTAAGCATACAGGTATATGCTTGCCTTTGTATTATATTACAAAATATCAAAGCCACCCAGAAAAATATGAGCAGGGAAAAGCCCCATTGTTAAGCAGTGCATGTGGTCAGTGAAGTGTCTGTGGTAGGTTTAGTCTGGCCTCTGATCCCAGTCTGACCTCATTCTTCACACAACGCAACGATATTTCAGATGCTCTGGTCACTGGCTGAGAACCTCGGTGTGAAAAATTGGTTGAAGGGATGGCGTGAGATCAACTGGAGTGCGACCTATTGTGATAGGTGTGACCAGTGTGTTTAACTGACCTTGATGGAAAAAGTAAAAGCGTTTTTTTCTTTTTTATATATATGATTTTTAGATACATTTACTGTGAAATAAGATACAAGCCGGCATCGATCCCAGCATCAATCCCAGGACGTGTTTGCGTTCACACAGAAGGCACTCTTTTACAGCAATTTCTCGGGATCAACGCGCTGTGAAAGGGGCTTTAGAGACATCTGTTAGTTTGAGAGAGAGGTGCTAGCCTTCCCAAAAATCTATGGCAGCATGTCTTAAAGTGCACATAGCATGAAGAGATGTAGAGATTAATGTCTTAAGGAATGTCTTGAGAATAGCTGACTAAGGCACTCTACTATAAAACAGGAGGTGAAATACAGTGCCAGTTTGGGAGGAGGAAGCTTTTCATAATATAATTAAACTCAAAGGCCAAGTCTACAAGAGTCGATCTGTCATGACGTTGTACCATTGTCATAACAAAAGGAAGTAAATATACAGCAAATCAGTGAATGATGGCCTGTGGGAAGACTGGAGAATCCAGTACCACATGAGGTCATACACCACAAGCCTTAGCTCAACACTGGGTGATTCAGGCCTCATGTATCAATTGATCTATTGTGGTGAGTACTAAATCAGTTATATTAACAAATCGAGTAGATGAAACATTCAGTTCCTGAAAACTCCCTGCAAAAATATTTCATAGATGTAAAATATTGGTTATATGATACAAGTCTGGTTTGTGTCCTTCAAGTGATGCCCAGTGTCATATTTCCAGACAAATGTGTGTCTATACTTGATATTGACACATAGGCCCCTTACATGTAACCTTATCAGGGCAAAATTGACTTTACTGGGCTTAACACGATGTGCTTTTGCCTGTGGCTCTCATACCTGTCAATCACCTCCATATCAACAAAGACAACCCTTCTAGATCTTATGCCACTCACAATGCTCTCTCATGCTTCATTCTTTTGCCTTGCTAGGTTTTAACCAAAACCTTTATCAGACCAAGATATTAATTTCAGATTAGTGGGAAAGAGCAATTATTGTTGACACACAAAAAAGAATGAAAGACTGTTTGCTAGCCACAATACCTGCAGGCGGGCCTGGATGTCTGCTAGATATAATGAAGATGGAATGAGGAAAGAAGAGAGGGTTAACGTGGATGTTATTACTGTCCCGAGGGCCTCCTCCTGCTCTTTTGTTTGGTAGGTGACATTGGCATTTTAAGGGTGGGTGCAGGGAATTTGGATGGCCTCTCTGCATCCAAAAGAGAAATATTTGCTGAAGATGGATGAATGGAGATGAGCTTTAGGCAGGTGAATGTTAGAATTTCCTATGGGTTAGTGACGCAGCGGTGGGTGGTCTTCAGTCTTACACTATCTAAAACCAGCATTGATTTTTAATGCTCAAATTGTTTGCACTTGTTTTGAGGGCAATAATAAGAAACTAAATAATAATAAAACATATGAGTCTTGCTTGACAGTGGAAAACGTGCCACCACATTAATCACTTGAGTAGGGGTGCATTTCCCAAAAGCGTCTTTATCCAACTATGGTCGCAAGTTCCCTTGTTATCAGCATAGTCCTGAAACCATAGTTCCTATGAACATTCACAAACAACCTCGCAAACGTACATAGTTGGAACTGACTGACTGACTGACTGAACCGTATTTAGTAAAGTATACGCCAAATACTGCATGCTAACATAATAAAAAAAAAATAGCTTTCTGTTGGTAATTTCAATTATATTAAATGCATGAATTGCAATATCAAAGAGATTAATTAGCTGAAGATCTTCACCTGCACATGACATCATTAACAACATTGTTTGATGCTAACTATTGTGGTTTAGATGACAGAGGTGTGACCGAAACAGTATTGATTTGCTAGTTAGTTTCTTCTAGAATGATGATTCGTACTATGTTGGTTCAGCAGTGAGTTACGTCCCGAAATTCCCGAAACCAGAGCTTAATAAATCCTTATTTTGAGCAAAATAAGCCAGCTGACATTCAGTGCAACCTCTGTCTTTTATTTAGAATACAT